TGCTTTAGAGAATATGAGCTTCAAGAACATTCATTCAAGTGTACATGATCATATGCTTTCTCATGTCATTTATTTTTGCTCTTCATTTACTTTTCATGCAAAGCCCTTTGGCTCTCTCTGTATCTATTGCACTGCTTGCATGTTTTAGAGGTTTAGGTGTGTGTGTTTTTTGAAAATGTGTGTGTGTTTTTATGTGTGCGCGTGCCTGCATGTGTGCGTGTGTGTAGCATGTTATTTTCCTTTGTGTGTGTTTTGCGGTCTTTGTATGGGGATTTCTCTGCATGGCTGCCAGGTGTGATGGCTCCATTCACCTGTGCTACAATAATCCTTTGGATACTGTATCAGTCACAAACTCAATCTACACTTCTATCTTACCATACAATAACGAGTCTAGATGTGAATGACACAATTGTTTTTAGTGGGGCTTGTGTTTTTATTATGGGTACTTCAATTGACCTAATGCTGTAGTCATAGTACCATTTTTGTTCTTTCTCGAGGGGGGCAGGTGGATCTTTCCTGTGTCCATTTAGGGGATAGCAGGTGTCTTATGCGTAAACAGAGAAGGAGGAGAGAAGAAGGATGGGGGAGGGAAGGGGGGCAACAGGTGGAAGGAAGGAGAGGGAGAGGGGAGGAAGGGATAGGTGGGATGGGTGGAGTGAGTGATGTATTTAAGACGTTGTCCTGCTCATCCTCCTCATCACTCGCTCTTGCCTTCTCTCTGCACCTGACCTGCAGGCCATCACTCGCCCTTCATTCAGGTAAGAATTGATGTAGGGGGCAGACTTTAACTCTGTCTCTGTTTCGTTATTTCTTACGATTTTGACTCTTAAAGTAGATTTTTGAGGGTGCATCCAATACACGATGCTATCTGTAGGTTAACTGCTTGTTGGATGTACTTGTGCAAATCATCAACAAAGATGATTTCTGTGTTTTTAGGATAAGATATGAATCCTTTGTGTATCTTGAACAAAGCTTACCAAAAATGTCTCTGATAAGTTTTTGTTATTCTGTTGATCCATGACACTTTGGAACATTGTGTCCACATTGAGAAACTGATAGGATGTGAGTGACAGTTAGGAAAACTCTTTTACAGTTCAGAGGTGAGGAAGCTTCAGGAAAGGCAAAGACTTACACCTGTCTTTGTTTTCTTTCTGCCGTCCGGTGGAGCTAAAGTAAAATCCGGATCAGGTTCCCTCTGCGTGTCCTGGTTACATCTCCTCCACTGGTTGGGCTGTTTCGCCAGCTTAGAGTTTCACTCTTATCAGCTGGCTCACATGTCCGGCTGCTGTCTATGTTCTGACTCCCAGAGGTCCTCTGGCAGGGGCAAAGCAACAAACAGATTGAGGATCAGTTTAATCTCTAGCAGAATCTTATCAGGACAACTGTCAGGGAGGAAACACTTTTGATGAGGAAACGGAACGAATTGCCTCCAGGGCTGTGCAGGGTTTCAGACTCTCCACCTCTGCTTTATCCAGATAGATTGAACTCATAATGGATCTGTTTCTAGCTATCTCAGTAAACGTATTGTAGCTTATGATTCTTTGTGTCCTTCTCCATGAATCTATCAGTCTAGCAGTGTGTTTTAGAAGGGATAAAGAGACAACGAGCGACAGAGAGCAACCAAAAAAGCATTTTGATTGATTCCAGCACGCTTTTCCTCCATGCTACAAATAGTTTATTCAAGCAGGACTTTGCTTGCTCTCGCCTTCTCTAACCCTCCTTCTTTTCTGTCCTTCTCCAGAATGTCTTTGCCCAACTCAGAGAACGCCTCCACCCTGGAGAACGCCATGCAGCTCTTGATCCAGACCTTCCACAAGTACTCTGGAAACGAGGGGGACAAATACACACTGAGCAGGGCTGAGCTCAAAGAGATGCTCACCACAGAGCTCGGCAACTACCTGGGGGTAAGAGAGGAGATAGTGAGGAAAACTAGATGCAAAGTTACTCGTGTGTTAAATAGATTCAGCCCCTCATTTCTGTTTTCTCTCCTGCAGAACGCCCAGGATAAGGAGGCAGTGGATAGGGTAATGGGTGACCTGGATTCCAACAATGACGGAGAGGTAGATTTCACTGAGTTCATCATCCTGGTCGGAGCTCTTACCGTGGCCTGTAACGACTTCTTCCTGGAGTTCAACGACAAGCCCACGAAGAAGTGAACACGCCCTCTGCACAAGGACGTCCACTCTGCAAAACCCCAAAAAGCTCCAGGGAGGAAACAGTTCGGACAGGAGAGAAGGACATCCTGTCATGGACTTCACATTCACAAATACACACACACTCTCACACATTAAATGATAGTCACTAGAGCAGTACATATTGGGTGTGTGTGTATTTGTCTGCAATGTCCAATCAATCCATTCCTAGTATGTTTTGCAATGTGAACATCTGGAGAGTTTAAGTCCATTTCAGCACCTGTCATTGTTAAATTCTTTTTTCTTTTTCATGTATTTTGTAACACATTCAAAGCAAAGAAAAACCTCCCTGGAAAGAATAAATGTGACTCAAACATAACGCTGAGTTGTACTTATTATTACAGTAGAGAGGATGAGTGTGAACACATGATGGACACCAGGGGGCAGCAAGTGGCCCTCAATTGAGTCTGATAGAGGATTCACTAGCAGGAACCACGCCAAAACAGTGTGATGTTTGTAAGTTTATTAAAGTAACATGTGAATGAGATGAGGGGGGTGAAGGGATGTTCTGGAGGACGAGCTGGTCCGTGCAGTGGGAGACTCAGAGTGGGGGTTCCGTCTCCGGCATGATCTGCGTGGGCTGATTACAGGCCCCCAGACGATACCTGGAATTAAAATGTTAGTATATACAGTATATAAATATGCGCAGTTTAAATATAAATGTTGACGGGCAGAGGAAGTTGGGATGAAGGGATGAGGGATGTGGGGATGAGGGATGAGGGGATGAGGGATGTTGAGGGGAGGGAGGGAAGAAGGGATGGATGGATGTATCGCTCGGTGTGAGTCGGAAGGGGAACTGTATGGGTAGAAGGGAGAGGGAGGGTGGGTTGAAAGGATGGAGACAAGCAGTGGCCGGAAGTTTTGCCAGCTATAAATAGGGGTGGCTGAGGTTCGAGGCGGAGTTTTAGGCGTGGCCATGCTCCTGAACCTGTTACATTTTTTCTCGATTGCTAACACACATTTTTTTTTAAATTGCTCAGTTTCTCAGAACACTAAACACAATTCACAAAACCACACACCCAAAGTGCAAAACACCTAATTTCTCCTGCTAAATGAAGAACTGCACTCAAAACTACATAAACACTTTCCAAATGCAAACTTTAGCACCAAATATAACACACTTCATTCATAACACTAGATGGTTTGACCACCCAACTACACACTGCTGAGCATAATCTAAAGCACTTCCATCTGTTATGGGCTGTGCTCTGTACAGAGAGGGTTCTGCAGAGAAAGATTGCTTGAGTTTACAGAAATACAGTAAATGAAGAAATACAAATGAGTTGTTGAAAGAAATCACATTTTATTCAAAAATAACATTGTGCAACATGCATCTCAGCACATAGTTACTATGCTTTAGATCTCTCTAAGTGTGATGGCATTGTTTGCCAAAACCCAGTTTGTAACTGCTGCTTCCTGTGCCTCATTGAACATCCTTAGCCTTCCACCTCTTTGTTTCTCAGTCCTTCAGATAAACAACAAAGACATAGTGGTCGGTCAGTGTCTGTGTTGCATAAAAGTTAGTTTACCACAGAACATTGTGCAGGATTGTTGTACAGTTATAGTATGCAACATGCCAACAATTCAATTACAGTAATGAAGTAAATACGTTTCACACAACAGATATAAGCTCTGATATATCATGAATTATGCAGAGCTACAAACTGGTAACTAACCTGTTTTCAAATCGTGTCCGGATTACAGAGGCAACGGTAAATCGGCTTAGATTAGGCTGAACCCTCCGTCCAGCCTCTTTCATCGTCAAACCATGGTTGATAACATTTCATTTAATTAGAGAGTACTCTTCTTTGTCCACGTCCTCTCCCTCCACCTCTACCTCTCATTCTTCCTCCTCTCACTCTCACCCACCTCTTCCTCCTCCTCTCACTCTCAGCCCAGCTCTTCCTCTTGCTCTTCCTCTTGCTCTTGCTTCCATGTTGGCTTCCATTGTTGCTGTAAGAAAGTACTCACCTGTGGTCTTTTTATAGTGCTAACATCCAGATTGATGAGCCAACAATTATGCTCTCAGGTGTTTGGTCAGGTGGAACGTGTTTCTTGATCATTGGTCCATGTGTGAGGCATTTTGAATATCAGTGTTTTAAACCTGCTCACACGTGACTTTATGTCAGATTCCTGTGTCTTACGTGGAGAAACGTGTGCAGTGGTTTGCAACAAGTGCCATGTTGATTTGTAAATTGTGTGAAAAGCTGAAAACGTGTTTAGAGTTTTGGAGATTTGAGCCGATGTTTTGCTCTTTGAGTGTCAGTTAAAATAATTGTGCTTTATGTAGAATTTTAGTGTGTTAGCAATCGAGAAAAACTGTAACAATTTAACCTCATTTACTGCATTGGGGTGGATTGATATGGAGATACATCTATGAATCATGCGCAAAGACGTATCTAGTAATAATGAAATAGATAGTAGGTTGTTTAAGCTCTAATATGGTGTGATATTCATCAGGTGATTTGGTGTTTAGATGCAGGGACAGACTCCTGTTTTTACAGCAGAATAATGAAAAACGTAAAGTGATCTGGGCCCTACATCCATAATTGTTTAAAAACCCTGCTTCCTAGAAGAAAGAAAGCACAAAAGGAGTGTGAAGGTGTGCATGCGTGTGTGTGTGTGTGTGAGTATATGAAAAGGAAGTTACCAGCCTGGACATTAGAAAGCCAGGAAACGTCTCTTTCTTTCTTTCTATCCTGTGGTATATGTTTGAGAGGAAGTTTGAGTAATACACTTAATTACAGACTACAGGGTATGTTTGAGTGTGTTGGAGAGAGAGAAAGAAAACATGGCACACACACGCACTTTGATTAATCTGAACCTACAACCTTTATTGGACTGGTTAAGGTGTGCACAGGAGCAGATTTGAGTCAGGAAGGAGAAGGGTGAAATATGGGGGAGCATGATGAGAGAGGTAGTGAGAAGAAATGAAGGAGAGTGGAAAGGTCAAAGAGAGAGAGAGAGAGAGTGGACAGCAACACTTTGTCCGTGTGGAGCCATGCAGGCTACAGTTTTCACAGGTCTCTGATAGGCTTTTCACACTTGTTCGGGATCTGTCAGGAATCCCACCCCAGGGTAATCCCATCCTCTAGAGACAGAAAGAGAGAGCTCCCAGTCCCGAACAGAGCTGAGCTGCAGACTTGGCCACGCAACCGTTAAAAGCCGAGGAATCTTGAAGCAAGTGACTGAGGATTACACAGCATTTCTCCAGAGTTTATAGTGGCTTTTCCATGGTGTAACAATACTAACAGTCTTTTGTCTCTGCCTATCCCTCTTTATTCCTCCTCGCTATCTGGATTGTGCTTGCTTGGTGATGTTATCCTGTTTTTATTCAGTCTGCAACCTTATTAGTCAAAAACATTTGCAATATTACATATCTGTTCTTCTTCATCCTGCATCTGCAACTTATTGCCTAGTGCGACTGCTTCAGCTTTGGCCCTCTTGTCATTTCTCTCTTGTTTATTTAAATTTTAATTCACCCCCCACTCCCTGCATGCCTGAAAAGGCCTTTTGCTTCTCGCTTGGTTGTAAGGGAACATGGGAAGATTGTGGGAGTAAGTAGAATCAGCCAGTCCGTGATGAAAAGGAAAACTACTGAATAGAGATAGTAGGTAACCATTATTCTAATTGGACTGAATGTCAGAAATGTGTTTGTCCATGGAAGACCAGATAGAGGAGAGTAAACTGGAGAGAGGTTGCCAGATATAAATAGAAAGGAGGGGAAGACACACATACAGTTTATCTTCTGAACATGGAATCTGGCAGATGTGATGCATCGGGATGTGGGGCACGCATACACATACATACACACGCGCATACATATGCTCAGAACATTACATACTGAAATATGAAATGACATATTAATACACATAATAGCTTCATTTCCATGATAGAATTCCCTTTCTTCAATCAATATAATTTGATTTACACGAAACTCCATCTCAGGGAAATCATGCTCCACTGTCCATCATAGAGGTGGTCCTGTCCACCATCTTGGCTCAGATTCCACAGTTACTCTGCAGCTGAACTCATCTCATAGCAGCTGGGCTCCCTGGCTCCTGCTGTCTTCTACTTAATGTGCATAACTCTGTCCATGCATCTATTACTTTATCCTCTCACTGAATAATGCAACCTCACTCTGTCTTTAATTAAAGTCCCCTCTCTGTATTATCCTAAAACTGTTGTTTGTACACATGTTGTGTTTGTGTGCGCACCACAGGCTGTGTAGTACAGTTTGTATCACATTCTTGTTTAATCTATACAATCATACAACACACCTTATCCTCTGTATCAGCATTTCACCCTTGCATCAGCTAACACATAGAGAAATTGTAATAATATATTACTAATGCTATACTGTGGTAATCTGCTATGCTATGGTAAAATATACTGAATCAGTTCTGTAGTGACTTAAAAAAAGAAAATAAACCTTTAAGAATCTTGATATGAACCATCCTTCCCTTTCTGATTAGCTCCCTCTGACATCAGTCAATGTTGAGAATGTGTAATGTCATAGTTGAAGGAGGACATGTCATGTGTCGATAAGCAGACAGTTTCGAGACGAAAGTGTTAATAAGCTGGCGTAAGGTTCAACGAGGAGTAAATCCTCTCTCCATAACTGAGTGGAGAGGAGAGCAGGGAGGCACCTTTCCAGCAGAAAAGGGAGGTCAGTCCATTAAACATCTGGCCTAAAAACTGCAGGTAAGAGTATGATTGTGTCTTCCTTGTTCGTTGCAAAAACGTTACTATAAAGGTAATGGGCGTGATTGCTGTGCAGTTCTAGTCCTGGTTTTTCAGTTCAAGAGACACAATAAAACCCAGACCACCCAGCCCCGCCCCCCAGCCCCACCTCTGGCCTTTGTCCTGCTGTGCTGATTGGTCGGGGGGGGGGGGGGGCTGTCAGGCGGGCGTGTCCTCGGCCTGCAGACGGTCAGCCTGGCGAGCTGGTGATGGTCTTGACTGTGTAATTCTGGTAGAGCGGCTGAGTGAACATGCCCAGCGTGCCGAACACACACACAAACACGAAGATCCACAGGAAGAGGCGGTCAATCACCATGGCAACGTACTTCCAGTCCTCGCTCACCTGTGGATACAGAGGAACAAAAGAGGTCAGGAGGGGGTGGAGAAACAGATTAAAAGGAGTAAGAAACCCACCGCTCACTCTCTAACTCCCCCCCCCTGTCTCTCCTATGCAGAGGGTTAATGGAGGTGAGGGTGTTAATGTGAGCCGAGACTCTGATGATGAGGAGGAGAAGAGCTGAGAGAGTGATGGAGGGCAGAAAGAAAGGGGGCTGACACTCAAAGCCCCTGGAGGAGGAGGAGGAGGAGGAGGAGGAGGAGGAGGAGGATGAGGAGGAGGAGGAGGAGGAGGAGGAGGAGGAGGAGGAGGGGAGGAGGAGGAGGAGGAGGAGGGGGAGGAGGAGGAGGGATGAGGGTTAAACTGAGGCAAGGAGAAGGTTGTTTTTTTTATACAGCCAGTTCGCATGGCAACGGGATGGTAACGATGTGGATGACGCGACAGCATAACGGAGGGTTATTATTTTCCCATTGTCGGGCTTCTTTCATTCAGGGCTGGTCCCCTAAGATGTCTTGAGGATAAGAGATAAACCGTTGTGGTTCCTCCATTCCTGCACTTCTCCAGTTGTACTCCTTCTCTATGCACACGTCATGCCGCCGCTGCTATAATTACATGTCTGTGTTGAATATTCAGAGATATGATTACGTCATCAGATCCGTCTCCTTTGCTTATGCTCTGGTGTATTCCCCCATGCGTTTAAAATGGCAGAGCTGCTCCGCTTTATCGTCTCTATAACTTGATACCATGAAAGGACAAATCTGTGCGGCTCAAAGCGATGCTTTTAATGGCTTGTAATGTGCACATAAAGTAGAATCATTTATGCTATGATTTTATCCACAAAGAGACAAGATAATATATTTGTTTTAAAATGGAGAGCAGCCCAAGTGATACATCAGCAGTCTGGTAACTGTTTATTACAGGTATATCTGTATAAGAGTGTGCAAAGCTGTAAACTACAGCAATAAAGGATTTATTGGCCTCGCCATCACTTTGTGTTTTTGTGTTTCACTTAAATAATCTACTTAAACATTATTTGTATGTGTTTAGTCATTTAAGCTTTCATTCATAGGGCTATTTTTTAGGACAACTTGGACACAGATCAAAAAGCTGTAAACAAACATTGACATTATTGGATCATAAAATTGATTTAGTGAACGTATTAGCTAACTGTTGCTTATTTGCAAATCCAGCAGTCATGGCACCACATTAGCATTTTTGTTTCTGGCTACCTGAAAACATTTAGTACAATATTCATTCATAGCTGTTTTAGTTTATACAAACCAGGAATATCTGTCTCTTTAGCTGCTAAATGCTCCACTGTGTTCATCAGCTAATCACTAAATGTGCCTGTTTGTGTTAATGAGGATGTTTTGTCTGTTGTGCTTCAACTGCCTCACAAATGATTGCAGGTCTGTCCAGGGCTCTCACAGTAGAGCGGTAATGTATCAGCAGAGCATGTGCTCCAGTAAACTTACTCAAATCCCTAAATACGTGTCTGTCTTTGTTGACTGCTGGGCAGGTACCAAACAGGAGTTAATCTGAATTTTTGTTTTTGCTTCCGTGTCTCACAATGAAGTGGGCAAAGTGAACCAGAACAGTAAAGTGGTGAGCTGTAAAACCAAACCAGTGAGCTAGTAATATAAAGCTGAGGAGAAATGCAGTCAGGTGAAACATCTCTGAGTGTTTGTGACTACAGCTTTTACATTAAACAGTCACTAATTCAAATTTCAAGTTTCTTATTGTCATGTGTGCATTCTTAGTATGATAAAATGTATTAGAGGGGCATATAATTAATCAAACTTGAATTAAGGACAACTGTTATATTTAATTTACTGTCAATTCTGATTAACTTGTATTAGTACTGTATCTGTAGTAAAGCTTTACTCTTTAAAATGTTAATTGGGTAATTTGAATATGTAAGAAAAATAAATCTCAGCCAAGATAGTTATGATCCTTTATATCACTGATCTGATTGTTACTAGTCTAGTACTGGTCGAGGCAACAGAGATTACCACTGTGATGCTGTAAATGGTAACAAACAGAATATGATACTCACACTCTGATCATCATCCTCACTCTTCATGTGGTTGGCGATGAAGCGAACCCCTTCCACGGCCTCCTCGAAGCCCGGACAGGCTTGAGCCAGCAGGGTCTGAGTCAGAGCAGGTCCTCCAGCCGCCTGCTTCCCCCGGGGAACGTTTCCAGCGCCCCCCTCCCGGCTCTCCCTCACCCTGTTCAGACCATCCATGGACCCTCCTGCTCCTCCCAGATCCCCTCCGAACTGTTTAACAGACGCCCGGTTCACATAGCAGGTACAAGGCTCACTGTCCTCCTTGCTGAACACCCCTGTGGAGGTCCCCCCTCCGCTCCCCCCAGCGTTGCCCAGCCCTAGCCCCACCATCAGGGCCCCTGCTTCCCCACTGCGCCCCCCCTCCTTCTGCTCCTGGGCCCGTCTTCTCTGGCGCAGCCGCTGGCGCTCACAGCTGTTCCTGGGCTGCCGCATGAAGAGCAAAGCAGGGAGCTTGTTGAGGAACACCAGTTTAACCCAGGGGGGCATGGTGTGTGTGGTGGGGGAGCGGTGGTGCACATTTAGCACACACACGCTGGTGACGATAGAGAAAGTCACAAGGACCATAGTGAACATTAAGTACTTCCCCACCAGAGGGACATCTAGAGAAGTGGGGGGGACGATTTTGGAGATCAGCAGCAGGAACACAGTGAGGGCGAGCAGCACGGAGATGCAGAGCGTCATCTTCTCTCCACAGTCGGAGGGCAGGTAGAACACCAGGATGGCCAGAGAGGTGATGAGCACGCACGGGATGATGAGGTTGATGGTGTAAAAAAGAGGCTTCCTGCGAATGATGAAGTCGTACGTGATGTCAACGTAGGTGGGGTCGGCCGGGTTCTCGTTTCGTCTGCCTGGCAGCGCGATGATGTCCCACTCACCGCTGGGCGTGAAGTCGTCCATGCTGGCCACGTCAGCTCGCAGCACCAGATCGATCTCGGTGCGGTCGTAGGTCCAGGAGCGGAAGCGCAGCGTGCAGTTCTGCTGGTCAAAGGGGAAGTGCTTCACCTCGATCTTACAGGCGGATTTGTAGATGGCCGGGGGCAACCAGAAGATACTGCCATCGTGGGACACCACCGCGTTAGAGTAGAACGACACCTCGTACACCCCATCAGCACTGAGAGGGATGAAGATGGAGAGGAGAGAGACAGAAGAAAGTAATGTCAGACATACAAAAAACGTGTATTTAAAGAAACAACTGTAATAAGATTTTTCCCCCTAAGTCTTACAAACAGTGGAACATCACGCATCTCATTATGCAACACGGGTTCATTAAAGAGCTCCAGGACACACACACACACACACGGATGCAGAGGATCTTGACTCACACACCTGTTCTACAAATACAAGGAACAGGATGAGCAGGCAGTCTCGACAGAAACACAGCTCACAGGTCACACTGGGTCGAGTAAAACGGCTCGAATTAGACACTTTGTTCAGAAGTTGGTTGAAAACATTAAAGCTGTAGATAGGGTTTCCATTTTATTAAAGCATTTAAAAAGTGAACTAATTAATGATGGGAGATTTGACATTTGCAAAACCATAACTTTTTTCTCTGGAAGTTTTTCCTTGTACGATGTGAGGGTCTAAGGCAGGGGTGCCCAACCAGTCGATCGCAATCGACCGGTCGATCGCAATCGACCGGTCAATCGCGGGGAGATTCCCAGTCGATCGCGAGATGTGTCTAAAAATAGAACAACAATATTCTGTTTTATCGTTAATGTCCTATAACATAATCTTCCTGTGGCAGAATAAAGCACATGAATGCATCAAAGCTTTGTGATTGGCCGGCGTGACCCCATGTGTCGGGGCGTGGCTGGTGCCATGGTGTCAACAGTAGTGACAGTCCGCACACACACAAGACCGCAATTATGGCAGAAGCAAAAGAGCCCAAAATATATAATTTTAACTCCGAGTGGGAGGATGATTATTTTTCTATCTATTCCAATTCAAAGTCCATCTGTCTCATCTGCAATGCGAGCGTGGCTTTATCGAAGAAGGGTAATTTAGGAGCGGCATTTCAAAACAGTGCACAAACGCTACGAGACGGAATTCCCTCCTAATTCTGCCCTACGCTCCAAAAGGGGAGGGGCCTGAGAGCACAGCTAAATGCACAGCAGTCCATTTTCACCAGGCCCAACAACAAGAGCAAGGCTGCTACCATAGCATCTTATCGTGTCAGTCACGTTCTTGCGAAACACATGAAGTCTTTCAAAGACGGCGAAGTTGTGAAAGAAGCATTCCTGGAGGCTGCCGACGCGCTTTTGGGGGACAGTAAAAATAACAGAAGCATTTCAACAGGTTTTGATATAATAAAAACTCAAGTTAGATACCGTTATTAATCAGCTGTAAGTTTTAGTTTGTTTGAACTTATTCATTATAATTATTGTACAAAATGGTATAAGAATGCAAACTTAAATTGATTATAGTCTATTATCAATTCAGGTTAAGAAACTAGTGTTGCTTGCATCCTATTTTAAAAAAGGCATTTATTTTTATACTCTACTAAATGCAACAAAAAAAGGGTTTGATTCTATTAATTTTGTCTTATTTATTGCACTTTGGCAGCAGATTCCTGTGTAGCTTCAGATCTGAGTTTTCTTATTAGTACGCCTAATTTTAATGGCAAAGAAAGGGTTCAGAGTCTTTTCTTTTTTCCCTGTGTCATATGTGGCAGCACTGTTCAATGTTTCTTGAAAACATTACCCACTGTAGTGACGTGTGAATAAACTCCAACTCTGTTTCAACAACACTGTTGTGTAACTTCAGTTAAATACTTGTATGTGTGTAGATTAGAAAGAGGTAAGATGAAGGATCTGCAGTATTTTATGAAGTATTAATCGTACAAAGGTCAGTTTTATACAATTAGAAGTGTGTATTTACCTGGTTGTAGGCTGTCAGTAATGGCTACGCCTCTCTATTTGGACTGGTAGATCTCGGCAGACTGGCAACTTTAAAAGTAGCTCTCGGTTAAAAAAAGGTGGGGCACCCCTAGTATAAGGACAGAGGGTGTCGTTTACTCATACTGATATTCTGCACAAACTGTGCTGTTGTATTTGTTGTAAAGTGTCCTTATTGTAAAGTATTTTTACTGTATGTACAGCACTTTGGCTCGACCAAAAATCGTTTTAAAAATGTGCTATATAAATAAAATGTAATTTGATTTGATTTGATAATTCATTATTTTTCATTGATAACACAAGACCCACCTGGCAAAGTGTACTATCAGAAACGTCCACTTTCCTCCAAATATAGATATAAAAACTAGTTGAGACTTTGGCATTAGCACCTCTAGTTGTGCTGTTTGCAGTGCTAATGGTCCTGTTTACTTTAATGCGACTGAGAGGAGTTCCAGGCAGTGAGAGGATATGGAAGATAACGTGTCGACCTGGGTTTCATGGGATTAACAGGATCATTTTATCCAGAGGTCTGCAGGTCGGGGAGCTTTTAATCTTTAGTAAAGTAAGGACTGGGACAGGGAAAGAGGAGAAGGCCAGACAGATCACTGTACTCTGATAAGCTGATTTACATACTGTAGGCTGACACTCTGTTTCCATTTCATTGAGACAAGTGGTCTGATCTGCCTCAGACATGCAAGCTCATATAATTACGCTCAAGACTAGATTAACAACTGTGCAAAACAGAACTAGATATCCCTATGTATAGTTTATATATTCTTAAGAAGATTGGTGTGTATATTAATTTCCACAAATGATTCTAACAGGAGTGTAAGAATATTGACACACTCTGATGCAGTGTAGTGATAGCTAGTAGTGATAGTGTAGTTTTGTGATACTGTATTCATTTTAAAAAAGTATTTTTGAAAACAAGTTTACAGGTAAAAACTTGTGACAGACTGATTCATTTTCTGTTGTGTTTGAATGTTTGATTGTGATATATGCAAATGTTGAGCTTGCTGTGCTGATGGCATAAAAAAGGGAATTCAATTTACTCGGATTTTAGGACTATGGTGTTGTGTCGTGACAGCATTAAAAAAATTATATTTAATATCCCAATATTTTGAATTTAAACCCCTATATCATGATGATTATTGTATTTCCAAATTCTTGCCAATTACTAACCCTACCAGCTGGATCAAATCAGCATAGAGTTAGCTTTAAAAAACATGATCAGTTGTCAAATGTATGTGCTTTAGTTTGTGAGCGTGCATGCGTCTGCCTGTGTGTGTCTTCAGGGTTGATGGAGGGAGGGTGAGTGAGTGACTCACTTGTTGTAGAGCACAACGTCAGGCAGCCAGATGTGTTTTGAGGGCAGCCTGACCTTCAACATCCCATCAAACTCCTCAGGGATCCAAGTCAGACGATAGTCCTGCCACTCCTGAGTGCCAATAAAAACAAAATGTTTAATAACTCATGAACCTATCACACAGCAGCAGGAGACATATTGAGAGGAGATGGTCTCTTTGTTCGTCTTTGAGTCAGTCAGTCAGTCAGTCGGTCAGTCAGTCGGTCAATATGACGCATCACAAGCCTGGGGAACATCCTGTACTGTGTCCCTCCACGCTTACATCATGCTTTTTACTATAAGTCAAAGAGAGAGATTCAAGCACTTATTCCCACCCCAACCCTGAATGATCCAGCCACAGACCAATCAGCATGATTAAAATGGCATAGGATTTTCCTGCGTGTGTGTGGGCATTGCCGCGTCCTCTGTGTAACCTTTTCTTTAAACACAGTATTATCTTGTTCTGTCTGCTGCGTGTCACTCATTGACATTGAAGGCTCTGCGACCTGCAACATCTGTTTTGTCTGGCCCTTATATGTTATGGCCATGTTGGAGCATTAATGCTCATGCTAGGTCATCTGCACTAACTGTGATGCATTGCGGTCATTACCGTTTGTCTTGGCTCAGGACAGCTGTCCTTGGCTCCCCTGCTTACAGATAGCAGGGGATCCATAGAGCACTGATGGCTATTCTACGCTCTGTTACATGCCATCAATCCTAACTTAGGACCAGGTGTATGTACATGAACATATGACAGAAAAATGCATAAAGCTATAAATAATCAAATTAAAATCCAGGATCCGCAAGGGTAACAATAAACACAGGTGCCTGTTTGGGGAAATGTTCATATACTGTAGATCAGTGGTTCTCAACTGGTCAGGCCTCGGGACGCACTTTTTACTTGGTCAATAAATCGCGACCCAACATTTTTAAGCACTCAAATCTATTCAACAAAAAACTGTAATATATACGCTTTTCAGCATACAATATTAATAAAAGTGAAGTACAGTGCATATATCCCTTCACAGAACTAAATTATGCTTTTAAAAAAGGTTAATGAGATGATGGAATCAAAGCTGAACTGTATAAAAAGGCACACATGCTGAAAACCCATCCCGAGAAGGGGGGTCTGGGGGGATTCTCCCCCAGGAGATTTTTAGAAATACTAACATAAACTACGCATTCTGGTGCACTCTGAGAAGAAAATAAATAAATCTGTTACTACCCGACATATTAATAATATTTTATGCCATTGTTTGTTTTTCACTCAGTTCTGACAGCTTGCTGCTCCTCACAGAGAGAAGAGCAAAGAGGAGATAGTCTGTGTGAATTACTTTAAATTGTGGGTAAGGGTAGATAGCCCCCATTGTTCTGTGACCTGTCAATCATCAAACCGGGGGTCATATTTCATTATGTGTTGATTTCTATCTGAAGTTGTACGCATGGATGTATAAAGAATAGTTCTACCGCAAAGTTATTCTCCGTGGGGACTTCCGGCAACAATCTTGATTCTGATTGGCCAGAAGACTCGAAAAAACATCAGCAAAGATGTTTTATTGAGAAGATGATCACTACGTGACTACTGGTTGTACTTCCAATCCAACGCCTACTGCATGCACAGCGTTAGAAAATTGGGCCTTCAAAATAAAAGTTTGACTTTTTTCCCCCAAAAGAAAAAAAAAAATTCTATTTTTCGAAACGGGTCCACTTTTGGGTTGCGACCCACCAGTTGAGAACCACTGCTGTAGATCTAAATATACCCCCAAATTAAACACACGGCTGTGTAATATGTTCTGGCACCTGCCCTCAAAGCAAGCACATATGTTGACGTTGTGTGGGTCAATGCATTTGTGTATCTAGTGTGTAAATGTGAACACCTACATGCTTTACCATGTTTCAGGCCTCAGCTGTAAGCATATGGAGAGCCAGCCATGTAGAAGAGGGTAGCAGCTCAACGAGGGTCACATTACTCACAGTGGTAGGGAAGCATAAATTGTCAAATTCACCAGCTGAGAAACAAGGCTTCAGTATTTGTGTTGAGTTTTTTTCCTCATGTGGTCAAACAACTTCTGATATTTCTCACGACAAGTTTTTGGAGGAGGTGTTTTGTTAGATGTCTCTGCCACTATCGGACACTAGCTGCTGCTGCTACACACGAGGGGAACAGGATTAGACGCTGCACATCCACAAACAGTGAAACATATAGAGCGGAGGGATGCATCTGTCCCCTTCAGCAACTGTACCACTTCTCATTTGCTATGGTCTACTGGTGCTACTGTATAACACTGTGGTCCATGATTATATAATGTAAATCAACATGCTAACTTTTGTTATATTAGAAAGGGAATATTAGTCCAAACACCATCCGCATCCCTTGAAGTGTGTGATGAACTTCCTCTGACCTGGCAGTAAAACTGTGATATTTAAGGTCTAGCATCGAAAAATCAAATATTTAATGCATGGCTCTGTCTTTTTGATACGGACTATTAGTCAGTGACCGGCATGATACATGTTTGCTTATTAAGCCATCTTTATTCTGGTTTCTCCCCTAGAACGGCGGCCCTAAATTACCATGACAAGGCCTACAATTTCATTTTCTTTCTGCTATAGGGTATTTTCCCTCTTTATAGCACAGTGTTTACTTTATAAGGACATTATTGTAAGATGAAGAGAAGGGTGGGAAGTCTCACCTGTGTGAGCCAGACATTGGTGGTCATCACCTGCTCTCGTTCATGCTGCAGAAAGAGAATACATATACATTACAACATTTATCAAATGGGTACTTCACTGATTCATTACAGCACTTCCGAAAAGATACAATGATACAGGACGTGCGTAAAATAAAAAAAGGAATCAACTTGTTTTTAGCAAAGCCGAGGTATCGTGACCTTACTGTAAGTCAATATAGGTTGAGACAAGTCTGCAAAATACCAGCTTAAAGTGTCTTTATTGCTTGATAATTGCCTATCTATTTCTAACTCCTGATCCCCAGTTTATAAAACGTTCTGCAAAAAATACTTCAACCCCAATAATGACATCACTAAATAGGGTTGTTACTAGTAAGATTATGTATATGTTTTGTATTGCTACTTGTGTATGAGATCTAAAAACTTCTTCCACAACTGGTTGTTTTCCTGTCTTTATAAAATATATTCTCAGAATGCCATGCCTAGATGTCCATGAAGCTGAACAGATCAAGCCTTGAGCTAAAGGCTAAATCATTATCACACTGACTCGATGTTTCCTTAGAGTTCCATCATTAGACAACCTAATTCTTGAACCACGAGACACAAATACAAACCGTCAGTTTAAGTAAAAGTATCCAGCATGAACCACATGCAGTGTGTAGTGCAGTGCTTGCCCCTAACAAACACCATCTACAGAACATCATTCGGAGTTCTGCTTCTTAAAATGATGAGTAACATCCTGGACTGCTGTGAAAGGTGCACAGAGTTTGTGTTTGGGTGTGTGTAACGTGCACACTCACCACGCTGATGAGCTGGGCCAGCGACACCATCAGCTGCACGGTAACCAGCTCGGAGCCATTAGTGGCAGGACGGATCAGTTTGTTGTAGTGGGCCGGGTTTAGGAGATGCTCCACCAAGCGCTCCTCTGTGTCTGCCCCCAGGCCTCCTGTAATGAGAACACATGATCATCATCTGCCTCTATCATGAGTCAAAAGTTGTGCAGCCATCTGTGTCTCTCTTGGCACTTGGCAAGATACTTTTTATCGTGTTGGATATATAGTATAACAAGCAGGAAATCAGTGTTGCTGTTGGGTTCCTGTGTTTGGCCACTGCCGTCACTGCAGGCATTGAGAGCTGGCTATCCATGTGTATGGAGAATGCAAAGCCTTTGTACCATGGCATTACTCGTCATCACTGCCGGCTGGAGCACATCAGCACAGCTCGATACACACTTCTTACAAGATGTGACATCATAAGAATGAGTCAACCAGTCTGAATATCTCTATCGCTATCGTTTCTGTCTTTATCGCTCTCTTCGTGCTTCTGCCCTGTCTCTTTTTATTCTCCTCTGCTGTGTTGCACTTCCTTCCAACTGCCAGTCTTTTGTAGCTTTGGGTTATTTTCACTTCATCTCTCACTTCCCTTCCCCTGTCTTTCCCCCTCCGTCCTTCCCCCTGCCCTCCTGTAGCAGACTGTATCAGTGTGAGTGGTTGGGTTCAGGCAGAGCTGTCACAACAGCACACAGGAGGGGAGGTGTTTCACTGAGAGACACGACGCATGGAGAAAAACAACTGTTCTGCACCTCCTCCTTCCTGCCACCCTCTCCGCTACTCACTCCCTGCCTCTCTGGCATCTGCTCGCTCCTGAGCTGCCTCTTTCCCTTCTCACAATTCCCTCACACGTTGCCCCTGAAGACAAACACAGGCTGTTAACTTGGTAGCAAGGATGTCATGTTTAAACTAGCTATTTTAGAGGCTATTAACGGGGCGGGAAAACAAACAAGTAAAAGCGAATGTGAGTAAGATTAACACAGTTATTTTGATGTTCACAATTTCACAATTCAGACAATTCAAACACAAACAAAGACTATAACAGAAAATTAAAAAAACAATTCAAAAGGGGAAAAGGGAACACATAATATAGAATAAAATACAAAGACCTAAACAGATCCTAGACAACTCCTTCTTAACCTTTATTTACCTCTATTACATGCATAATATGCACAAAAAGAACACTTAATTGTCTATATTACTTTATATTGTAAAGTGTCTTTACTGTAGGTTATTTTTTATTATATGTACAGCACTTTGGCTCGACCAAAAATCGTTTAAAAATGTGCTATATAAATAAAACTTGACTTGATTTTATTTGATTTATATTAACAATTGGTACACCAAAGAAAATGCTAATTTATTCTATTGTATACATTAAATGGTAACATTATAATTTATATATAATTGGATTTGGACTAAACAAGCAATTATAAGACATTATCTAAGGCTTTTGGAAATTCTGATTAGTATTTACAAATGACCAAATAAGAAATTGATTATTAATATAATCAAAAAAGAACATGAAGATTTTGAAATAAAAAAAACGAAGGATTTGAGGCCATAATGATGTCAAAATATGGAATAGCCCTTTGAATTTGAAATTAAAAACTTTAAACATGCTCAACTATCTTTCCTGTTTTTCATCTTTTCCCTCTGAATGTGTTTCTGAGCTCCTGTGACCCCCCCCCCCCCCCTCCCCCCCCCTCCCTCTGGCCCTGTAGCACTGCTGTGTTCACTGAGCAGGAATGATAGCCTCTGTCTCTGGATCAATGAGGACTCTATCCATGCCCCGTAAACTAAAATTTCTCGCTCCCCCCCCTCTTTTTCTAATCTCCTGTTCCTTCCTCTGTCCCATCTTTTCCGTCTCGTTTTCTTTTACATCGTCTCTGTCTCTCCATCATCCGAGCAAAAACGTATTTTCTTCTCACTCCCCTGACTGTCTCCCTCACTCTCCTCCCTCCTGTTATCTCCATCTCCGTGTCGCTGACAGCCACTGTCCATTTATTGCCCCTTCTCGCACTAATCCACCATCATCAATACACATCCTGTCAGCACGTGTGTGTAGCACTCTGGTTCTTTATTGTGCACAGGCGCCAGTTACTTTTATTCATATGTGTGTGTCTTTTTGTGTGCAGATATTCATGAGGGAAATAAACACTACTGTCTGTGCCTGAACCATATGAGTAATGTATATTATTCCCAGAAACCCAAGGCAATAACAGAGAGACAGAAAGCTAATACAGTTCACTTAAACAATGATGAAACAGAAATGGCCTACAAATGCCATACTCACAATGTAATGGAAGTTTCATACTCAAAACGATTAAATGAAATGTTGAAAAGTATTGCTCAATTGTCAAATTGATATTCAGTTTTTGTTCTTTGAAACACAGAATTCATTTGAGCATTCGTGCAAAACGTGACTATACATTTCTACGAACAATTGTTTGATTTTTTTCTGTCTGAAAATAGCTACAAATATATTTATATATTCTTAGAAGATGTTAACATTGTGACCAAGGCTGTTCAAATGTTTGAATAGTCTCAATGTTACTGCATCAACTCCTGCCTTTACTAGAATAAGACTGGAATTTGAATCCCACCATATGACCACATGACGCAGTCTTGGTTAACAAATGCAATCTCCTCATACTTTCGGCTTAATTTCCTAAAGTATTTGCATGCATGGGATCAGGATGAAAGACTAATATTTTACGACACTGAGACAAATTAGAGACTAAAAGAGAGAGCTTTTCTGGTTTATTCTTATCTCAACAACACTGATCAAAATAAGCACACACTCTAGTCTGATCACTGCACGAACATGTTGGTGTTCATCCTCAGCCCTCACTGATGCTTCTAAACACAGACTGATCTTTCTCCGTCTCCACATACGACACGCGGCCATGCTAAAGGCCGAGCTGAGCGGTTATAATATTGCTGGTAGCTCAGGTTGTATTCTGGTGGTTTTCCAGTGCAAATATTGCAAACTTAATGTGAAACTATGAATATTTCAGCAGGGCTCCCCATTAGACCCTGGAGCGACGGAAGTTACACACCACCACGCACATACCACACAGAGCAGGAGCAGACGAGATGGTAACCACGCTCAGAGTCTGATCGCTTTAACAGCCATTGATCTTAGTGTGCTGATCGACCTTTGAAAAATGTGTACGTGTTATTCCTAGTTTCTGGAGGACTGCTGCAAAATCATATCAAATCATCAATTGTTGCATTAAACAGCACATTGATTGCAGTTTACAGAGCTACTTAGCCAGAGTCCGCACACGCTGTAAAGACAAATGTGGAGAAAATGATGGCGAAGCGAGAGCTAAATTGAATAATCTCGCTATAGACTATTACAGCGATGATCTCTATTTATACAGCTCACTTAAATGAGAAAAGGTTAGAGCGATAGTAGGGTCCCTTTCTGCTCTGCCAAAAAGGCTTTTTGGCTGCAGATGGGACCTTTCATGCTGAAATATTCTTAAATCAATAATGGAGAGATCAATTGATCGTCTGACAACACCCAATTGGCTCTGTAGTGCCCATAGAACTGAGATATTAATATTGATCCTTCCTCCAGCCGCAATATCAGAGCACTGCAAAGACAAAGCCATCCTACTGTGAACTAACTGAGGCCAGAAGAAGCTTTATTGTCGCCAGATTCGACAAGCTTCAGTCAAGAAAAATGTGGCTGAATTAGTTGAACTTTTTGAGTTGCTAATAATGGACATTTTACAACAATGCCCCTAACCAATTATTTGTACCTGTATCTACCATCCTTTCAATAATATCAGTTACTGATACCCATATAAACTTTATCATAAAATCCTTACTGTATATAAAGTCAGATTTGATGTTGTATTTAAAGAAATGAAATGCAAACATCACAACAGAAACATTTGTAGATTCTTCCATCACTATATTCTATAGGCTAAAAGCCTGATTCCACAAATACAATAATTTTTTAGAGAAATGTTGGAGCTGAAACAACAAGTGTATTAATGTATTAGTTGATAAAAAAAAGTCATTGTTGACCATTCAGTAGTCTAATACAAATGTTATCAAATGGCTCAACTTTCATTTACATTACTTAAATGATTCTTTTGAAAAGTGAAAAAAACATATTTTAGTGGAATGTACCACATTGAATATGAACTAACTATGGAAGCCTGTTTGCGCCACAGGAAAAATAAAATAAAAAATCATGTAACTCATTATAATGACTTAGCTATCTCATTATAATGACTTACTATCTCATTATAATGACTTAGCTATCTCATTATAATGACTTACTATCTCATTATAATGACTTAGCTATCTCATTATAATGACTTACTATCTCATTATAATGACTTAGCTATCTCATTATAATGACTTAGCTATCTCATTATAATGACTTACTATCTCATTATAATGACTTAGCTATCTCATTATAATGACTTACTATCTCATTATAATGACTTAGCTATCTCATTATAATGACTTAGTTATCTCATTATATTGACTTAGTTATCTCATTATATTGACTTAATATATCATTATATTGACTTAGTTATCTCATTATATTGACTTAATATCTCATTATATTGACTTAGTTATCTCATTATATTGACTTAATATCTCAAATCAGGCCTCCCTCAGTAGACACACATTTAGGTGGCGCAGCGTATGTTTCGGAGAGATATGGGATAGGCTTGACGTGTTATTGAGCTCAACCTTGTCTTCTAAGAAGGTAACAGTAAAAACGGTGCCTACTTCCAGTGGATCAAATCAAATCAAGTTTTATTTATATAGCACATTTATAAACAATTTTTGGTCGAGCCAAAGTGCTGTACATATAATAAAAATAGCCTACAGTAGAGACAGTGGAGCCACGAGGGGTAGAGCGCTGGTTTGTCCTTGCTTCCTTTTTGTTTTGTTTTCTTTCATTTGAGCCACCGTGCCACATTAGACTTCCTGCATTCATGTAACGCAGTAAACAGAGTCGATGTGACCCTCTAAAACATGCAGGCCTAAAGGATATATACATAAAGATACACTATGGTCCACTCGGATAGTTTGCCATCTCCGTTCTCCACGAAATATCTTCAAAAAATGAGCTGATGTA